CTCCTACTCCTACTCCTACTCCTACTCCTACTACTACTACTACTACTACTACTACTACGACTACTACTACTACTACTACTACTACTACGCCTACTACGCCTACTACGACTACTACGACTACTACGACTACTACGACTACTACTTCTACTACTACTACTACTACTACTACTACTACTACTACTACTACTACTACTACTACTACTACTACTAACTACTACTACTACTACTACTACTACTACTACTACTACTACTACTACTACTACTACTACTACTACTACTACTACTACTACTATTACTATTACTACTACTACTACTACTACTACTACTACTACTACTACTACTACTACTACTACTACTACTACTACTACTACTACTACTACTACTACTACTACTACTACTACTACTACTACTACTACTACTACTACTACTACTACTACTACTACTACTACTACTACTACTACTACTAACTACTACTACTACTACTACTACTACTACTACTACTACTACTACTACTACTACTACTACTACTACTACTACTACTACTACTACTACTACTACTACTACTACTACTACTACTACTACTACTACTACTACTACTACTACTACTACTACTACTACTACTACTACTACTACTACTACTACTACTACTACTACTACTACTACTACTACACTCCGTGCACCTTACATCCGTACACCGAACATCCGTACATTCGAGTTGCCGGGACAAAACACCCATCATCACCCTCGAATTCCTAACTTTTGTATCCACTGGGGATTAGTATCAGGGGCATCTGGCACGGGGAGGGGGAAGAAGAGGAAACGGAGATGGAGGATGATGAGGACGGGCGCCTGTGCTACAGAAGGCCTGGTCGTGCCGCATGAAGACGTCCCCGTCCTGCCCGATCAACTTCACGCAATAACTGCAGCGGAATCCGCCGTGCCCCCTCCTGGGCTGGACCGCGGCGTCGGACCGCAAGCGAGGCTGTGCGCAGAAAGTCCCGCAGAAGTAGTCCAGCCTGGCTCGAGGCTGCCCCCAAGGTACCCTGGGGCGGTCCCCTCGACACCCAAGGGGCGCAGCCGGAGGTGGCGCCGCGGTGACCGGTTGAGGCTAACCCTGGGGGCCTACTAAGGCCAGCCAGTGCTGTTAGTACCTCCGAGCCCCCGGCCCCCGACGACACGATTTTTTCAGGGCAACGAAATCGTAAGCCCTGCAAGCAGGGGCCATCGGGGGGCGTTGTGTCAGGGGCAGCCAGACCTCGTCAAGCAAATGTGCTGTGCGAGGACCGTTCAGAAAAGCTACTTACGAGGTAAGACGTCCACCGCGCGCATGCCTCCAGCTTCTATGAAAACTCAGCTTAGCTACTCGCGTCCACTCCTCGACCACGTCTGCACCGAGCCTCCTTGATCGCTCTCGTAAGCACAACTTCCGTCGAATAAGGCGCGTCGCAAACAGAGGCTGGCCGATCGGAAAGCTGCTCGAGGCCTATGGTCTGCTTTTCCCGTAACGTTTCAGCCGCAATATTGAGCCCCCAGGAAACGTGCCGCCAATCGGCGCAATTCGCTCGTGGGAGGACACCACGCCGCACTCTAGTGCGCCCGCGTCCTGGTACAAGATCGCCGCCCGCTCATCGTGCACATAATCCTTGCATACCTTATTTCACTTCGGCCAATTACCTGATCACGAGTTTGCTGTCGCCTGGAATTCCCGCGCACTTCGCCGCCCCGATATCCAACGCGCGACCTGCAGCGTTTTTACACATAGCTTAACGCGCAGATTGAAAACGTAGGTCTAGCGCGACACATTCACCAACACGCGGGCCAACGCGGGCCGACCCAACACGCGGCGTGTCAACGCTGACGCTGTGAGCACGGCGCGCTGTTGTATTTGTTCTTGTCCTCTCTCTCTCTCTCTCTATCTACGTCGCCCGCCCCTTCGAAACGGCAAGTTCTTGGGGCGAGAGGCCGAGCGCGCCGCCTTCAAAGCCAACCGCCCGACGCCCGCACGCCGCTGCCTCCGTTCCTGGGCCCCGGGGCCTCGATGAGACCGAAAACCGCATGATACTATTAACGAACATCTTACACACACGAACAAACACACACTCTCTCTCTCACACTCACGCACACTCACATTCACACCCACACACAAACACACATACACACATACACACACGCGCACACACATACACACACGCATACACTCAAAGCCACAAGGAATAATAGTGGGGAAGGGCAAAGCGATGAATGCGTTAAAAGCATGGGTGCGATTTGCCGGACCCCGAGGGGCCACGGGCGTGCGTTGTCGGACGGGGGTCCCCGCTCGGACGGGGCCCCCCATACGACAACGCGCGCCCGTGGCCCCCCTTCCCCCCCAAAATTCACTCCCAGGAATTCGAAGGGACGTACAGGCATGGGCGTGAGTTGTCAGCTCGTGAATAATAAGGACGCAAGGTCAGGATGCAAGGGCCCTGGGAGACCATGTTGATATGTTTCGATAGGGGCTGGCCAGCAAACGTTGCCATGGATGGACCGAAAAGGGTCAGGAACAGAGAGGAGAAGGAGGAGGAGGACCAGGAACAGGAACGGAGAGGTGGAGGAGGAGGTGGAAAGAGAAAGAAATATTGAATGGGTCAAGTGCTTGGCGACAGGAGAATCGCGAAAAGGGCCCGAGCCCGAGGAGCTGGAGGGGGAGAGGCGGAGGGGGGGCCCGCCTCGCTGCCGAAGTCGTCGCGCACGGGTCGCCGACGCCGAGGCCGCGGGCGGCGCGGCGCGCCCCGCCCCGCCCCCCTCTCATCCATCCTCGCATCTCCGCCCTCCTCCAAAGGCTCCTCAGACTTCAAGGGGCGCTCACTTCCACCCCTCGCCTCAGAGGCTCCAACAATGCCCGCGTGTGGGGCCCTGGTCTCTGGGAGGGGTGGGGGCGAACCAGAGCGCGCGCGCGGGCGCCCCGGGCGGCGCCCAAGCGGGCCGCTTCGGACGCAGCCCTCGAGGGCCCCTCGCGGGAACGCTGCAAACCGTCGGCCACTCGGGCGAGGACCTCTCCAATTGGGGGGCGGCTCACCACGGGGCGTGACATCTACAGGTCGTGCAGAACAAGACGCGCCAGCGAGAGATCTCACATAGCTCGCGGGGTTCAGGGGCCGCCTGGCCACGGCCCGCGCCCCGCCCCCCCCCCGCCCCCGCCGCCGCAGCTCCCCTGAAGCGACGAGGCCCCCTCGGCAGAAGGGGGCGCGAGAATGGCGGGTGGGCCAGGGCCGGGGGCGAGCGCAGCGGCGTCCAACCTGCAGTCATTCACGAGAGCCGCACAGACTTCTTCACATCCTCACTTGTTGGCGCACTCCGCAAAACGGTGGGTGGAGGCTTGGGGGCAGAGGGAACGGGTGGAATGCGTGGCCGCCCTCTGAACACCATCCCTCACTCCTCGCAGAACCTCGCCAGGGCCGCCGCTGCGAATTATTGCTCTTTCTCGGGCACGGGGGCGAGAGCAAAGAGGGTCCCGTGCATTCGTGGATGGGGCGGCTTCGCAGGCGGACCTCCAATGCTTGGCAGATCCTCTTCCGGCCCGCGCGTCGGCGACAATGTTGCCGCGAGCGAGGGGGTGGTCAGCAATCTGGCCTGGCGACAAGCCCTGGCGCGACGGGGTCCAGAGCAAGGCCGCGTCGCGCACAGGTTCACGTTTCAAGGCCCTGCGAAGCCGCGCCCAGAGATGTCAGTTCTTGAGCCGCCGAGTCCAAGCTCCAAGGGGCCTCCAAATCCACCCTTGCCCCCAGCCATTCAGCAGGGGCTCGCGGTCGGCGACGGACGTCGGAGGCCCCGGGCTTTCTTGAACAGCAACGCCAACGACTGGGAGCGCGGCGCTGACTGCCGCCTGCCCTCAAAGGGGACGAAAAGTCCAGGGTGGCCTGTCCATGGGCGGCTGCCGTCGAGGATCGCAACCGCCGCGGGCCGTCCGCACCTGCGCCTCCCGGGGTCATCCGAGAAGGTCCCTTTCGGAACCGCCCCCAAAAACAAAGAGGCGGCCAGTGACGAGGTCTCGGCAAGCCCCTGCGAGGGCCTCCCCAGGGCATCAGGGCCCCCCGCCCCCCCGCCCACCCCCGCGCCGCGGAGAGAAGGATGGGGCAGTGGAGGAGAGGCCGGGCGCGCCGCGGAGCCACAAGGCAGGGCGCTGCCAAAGGCCCGCAAGAGCCAGAGGAACCAGATGCCCACTCGCAGGCCCTCACTAGCAGAACACTTCCACAGCCCGTGGGGGAGGTCCTCTACGGCCCCAGACTTACGCTGGTCACGCTCATGAGCTACCTTGCCCCCTACCTGGTCTCTGGTCCGCTGGCCTCCTGGGGCAGCAAGATAAAACGCTCATGACGCATAAGGAAGCGCCTCTGCTCGATCCCGACGGCGACGAGGTCGGCACTGGCGACGAGGGGCGACCCATCCTCGTGCGCAGCGGTCGCAGCCCAAAGTCTGCGCCAGAGGTCGTCGCGAAATCGTGGAGGACCGGCTCGTAGTCCAGGTCGATCAGCTCAGCCACCGTCTGGGAGTCTCCATTCCTTCAGATAGTCATCGCGTACTCTCTGCCAGCAATCGGCCTATTTGGGGCCCCATCCAGCTTCGAGTAGTGTCGCAATTGCAGCCTCCGAAGGTCCAGTGACATGTGGCCAGATCCTGTGGCCCGCGATGATCAACATTGTCTTGATGAGAGCTCATGTGCGTCTTATGCGCTGATGCAATCCAGATTGATCATGCCAAAGACGAATCCATTGACGAAGCTGCTGCTGTCTGAGCTGCGCGTCTGGGCCCAAGCCCTCGAAGGTCACCCCGGGGAGCGTGGTGTGGCAGAGGCCAGCTGCCTGCCACGTGGCTGCTGCCGCCGCCTGTCGCCTCCATCGTAGAAGAGCATGCCGCGCGAGTCCACGAATCTTGTGCCCGTGGACTCCCTAGGGCAGCGAGCCCGTGGACCACGGCCCCTTGGCAATGCGTGCCTGTTGAGCCGTGCGTCTCATGCGCGCAATGCGCCTGGTGCGAACTGAGGCCACGCGCGCGCGCTCAACCGCCTGCCTCCGGATACTGCGCGTGCCGGCGCAGGTGTCGATGCCCAAGTCAGTGGCCGTCGCGGTAGCTGAGACTGGCAGCCCTCGGCGGCGAAGGCCGCGCTCGAGCTGCTCGCGCACGGCGCGGCCGTCGGAGAGGGGGCCGCAGTCTTGTCGGGGGCGGGGGGGGGGGGCATGGCCCAGGGCGACTTTCAGCTCACTGCCTGCCTTGACCAGCCTGCTGGCCACCAAGCGAGCCGCGCCTTCAGCCCGAGCGACAGCGTCGCCCACGAACGTCCACAACGCGGCCCCCTCGGCACCCCGCCGCGCATGCGCGAGGATCGGGAAGAAGGGGAAGAGGCGGGCCAACATTGCGCCGAGCGACGAGCCCGCTGCGATACCCTGCAATGCCCAGATGGGCTCGGCGACCCAGCCTGTGGACCTGAAGATCCTGGGGCTGAAAAAGAGCTGAACCTCCATAAACAAATCGCAGGGAACTCCTCGCCCAAACCGGCCTCGATGGGCCTGCCCAACTTCGCATGATCATAAAACTTGGCCGGATCCAATGGCTAAGCGCCCGCCGGAAGGCCCATGGCCGTGGCGGACTCGTCCAGAAATGCTCGGTGAAGCGCCGCCGTCAGCGCCGAAAGGCCCTTCATGGCCGTGCACCAGAAATCACGTGGCCTATCGTTCCAAGAGTCAGAGGCCGCTGAGCGGACGCGGCTCCACGCGCGAGCCAGGTGGGGAAGCGCGCCAAGCGCGCGATCCCCACCGGCGCCCTTTGGAGCTATCGCTGGTGTCAGGACTTTCGGGGGCCAGGTGCCCTCGGACTCCACGACGTGCAAGACTGACGCATACTCGCTCAGCGCCTCGGCAGAAAGGCGGAGAAGGTCGCGGGGGCCCATCGCGTCGACCCCCTTGACCTTGGCCCCCGGCGTGATCTTCAGGGTGCCGGCGAGCATTTCCACCGCGATAGGTTCAGGTGGGCCATTGCGAACCTTCGAGCGAGCGCGCTGCAAGGCCGCCGCGACGTCAGCCAGCCGCTTCAGAGGACGCCTCTCCGACATGATGGCCGCTGGGTTGGAGATAGCCTGGCCGTTCAGTAAGATCCCCAACTGGTGATGATGATGTGGCTTGACCTGTCGATGTAGAACGTCGGGGTTCGACTTCCACATATCCGAGAGCCAGGTCGCGTGAATCTTCTCACTGTGAGAAGCAGCACGTCCTGCCCGAGCGCCCGTCACGTGAGTGAGCTCGTCTCTCTCCCCGTCGTCCAGAATCGCGCGGGCGCGTGCAGGCTCTGATATCTGAATGCTCCCCCCTCCTCAACCATGGGCAACAGTATTGTCGCGCTTCGACTCAAAATCGCAGAGCCTATGAGCTTGTCAGTGGTCACCTTGACGACATCAGCATGCTTCTTTCGTCTGCGCCGCGCCGGCGACTTCCTGACCGAGGTAGCAGCGATGGCCAACTTCTCAGCAGGCGCGCGCTTGAAACGCGCGCGTCCAGGGGATGCGGATGCCTTCTTCCAGGTGGAGCGCGCCCCCGAGGAGTGCCCCTGGAACTCAGCCGGACCTCTGGTCCTCAGGGATGGAATGACGTTGCGTGGCCGCCATCTCAAAGCATCGCGTCCACCTGGCATCCGATAACTGAACATTGCGAGCAGCCCTCGGCCCCAACTCATTCAAGAAATGAGCGGGTGGCTCCCAGGACCGCGAATTAACGGAACCTGCCGAAGCCGAGACGGGACTGCCAACTGCCTGTCCCGCAGCGCCTGGGGGATCAGCCCCTTGCCCGACCTCGTCGTTCAGCTCCTGGGGGGGGAGGGGGCGCGCGCTCCGAGAAAGTAAGGCTCGGCGCCGCCCGCGCGGGCCCTTCGGGTCTGTCCCCCCCCCCCCCCGGCATGAAACCATTGGCGCTGGCGCCGTCGACGCCGCGTGCGCGCCCCTCCCAAGCGGCATCTGCCCCCTCTTCCAGCGAATGGGCTTCGCGAGACCTCCCGCGAGGGCGCCTCGAGCGGTGCTCCGGCTCAGCCTTCTAAAAAAGGGGGGGCCATGTCACCGACGTCGAGCAAGCTGCCGTCGCCCCCCCCCCAGACTTGAGCCAGCGCTCGCGCCGCAAGTCCAGAGGAGCTGCGAAGTCCACTCCGCTTGCGAAGTCGACCTCGTACGACTGTAGCGGCTCAGGGGGCGCGTCGATCTCTGGACCCTGCGGGGGCTGCTCAAAGGCCTCCTGCAAGTGGTGAGGGGGTGCTTGCTGCCGTTGTTCCAGCGCGGCCATCTTGCGAAGGGGGCTCAAGCCGTCCGGGCCTGCCTGCTTCTGCGGGCGCTGAGGGCGCGGGAGCTCGCCGGGACATGCGGGCGCGAAACGGCCCCGCGGTTGCGAGTCGCCCGCGCGCGCTTCAACGCCAGGCTGCGCACCCCCAAGGGACCTCATGGGCCTGTCGCGAGACCGACGCGTGCTCGGAGCCTCGTTTCACCGCAGCGCAATGGATGGTCGAGCCAACGCCTCTGACGCCAGTGGACGGGCCAGGGGCCGCCGCGATAGATCCGCCCCGCTCCTCAGGGTACCCGCTATCATCGAGCTGCTAAGGTGACGTGTTCCTTCCAATCTCCAAGAATGATCCACGGATCTGCAAGCATGTCCATTAATGCAACAAGATCCGCCATGCGCTCGCGCACAGGGCTCGCAACGGCATCACGAGGTTCAATGTAGATGCCAATGACAATCAGGTTGCAAGTGCGCCTATGCCACGACATAGGGGCAAAGCCGCGGCAGGGGTCGACGGCGAACTCTCTGCAACTTTGCTGGCGAAGCGCATCGAAGGTAGAGGCCGCGACATGCTTGCGAGCTAGACAACCTCGCCACCCGCGGTGCCCTCCGCGGAGCGGCCGTGAACAACGCATCACAACGTGAGGACTTCCAGTCGCCCTTGGCAATCTCGATGAACTCCTGCTCAGCACGCGCTTTCGACATGTGGGCCTCGACCATGGCAACTGACTGACGCCGCTCTCCCGCGCTCGCCGGCCATCGCTCCGCCCGCGGGCCCCGCTCCGCACTGTCCGCGTAGAACAGGGGGGCCGCTTCATCAGACGTGCTGGCCGCGCAACCCCTGAGCAGGAGGAACGCGAGCAGGGGCGCCAGGGGCCTTGTCCGCGAACTTGGGAGGGGCCTTGGTTGGCGCCGCTTGGGCACGGGGCGCGGTGGGCGGGCTCCCCCGGTGGCAGTCGGGCGCGTAGCCGCTGCGTCCGTGGCCGAACCTCGGGCGGCGGCGGGGCCGCGCTGGCCGCGGCTGCAGGGGGGGGGCGCCTTGGGTTCCGAGAGCTCTGCCCCTGACTCTGCCGCTGAGTTGCCCGCCGATGCCGAGGAACCCCAGGGCCCCTCCTGCGCTTGGCGGCCTGCTCCTGGTTAAACTTCTGGATGGATTCCATGAGGTCCTGGAGCTTCTGCGCGGCCGTCTCCAGCTGAGGGCGGGCCGCGTCGAACTCTGTCTTGTGCTGCATGAAGGTGGTCTTCTCGTTCCCGCCCAAATCCTTCGGATCGGCCGTCTCGAAGATGTCGTAGTCAATGGCGATCTTGTTGCCAACAGCCGATGGGTCACGTGCCTGCTCATGCTGCAGCGTCTGAAAAAGGCCTGCTTGTAGGCGGACTCCGCGGTTGCCTGCTCCGTGATCTTCTGGACACGGACCCCGCTGGCTGCATCAAGCTTGCCGCGGGCCCGTAGCGCCACCGCAGCCGCCTTTTGTGCCGCCAGCTCTGCCTTGCGCAACGCCTGCTTCGCCTTCTGAGCCGCCTCCCAAGCATCCGTGGATGGGGGTTTCTTGGCCTGGTCCTGGAAGGAAGGCATGATGGCCTCCGTGACCTCAAGAGGGGGGTCCGAAGCCGGGAGGAGGTCGCGCATCTGCTTGTTATGATCGTCTCAAAGCGGCTGGGGTGCTGGTCGACCGACTGCTGCCAAGGACTCCACCAGTCGACCCTGTGCCCACACTGGCAGTACCCGTCATTGGCGATGAGCTTGTAGTTCCAGGTCCAATTCTGGCAGCCCACACACCGACGCCATGCACGCCCATACTGCTTTCCCACAGACATTGCTCCTCGGGTGAACGGGGGCAGGCGAGAGAGTGGGGCGGACCACCCCTCGCAGAAACAGTTGGGTCTAGCCGCGGACTAGCGGTATCCACGTGTTCCGCAGGGGAACAAATCATCTTGAGCCAAAATGGCTACGGAGGATGAGAGGGGGGGAGTTGGAGGAGGAGGAGGAGGAAGAGGAGGAGGAGGAGGAGGAGGAGGAAAACCTTGGAATGTTGTTCATCCTTACTATGCGGGTTGACTGTCTTGCGGGTGCGGGCAGAGGACGGCGGGCGGAGGACAGAGGCCGTGAGCTCCCTGAGTGCGGCCAGAGCGACGGGGGTCCGAAGATCCCCAATGTATCGGCGATGCCCCCGCGACGTCCGGACGGAAAGAGTCGGATTCCAGATCGGGCAGAATCTACGCACAAGGTATCTATACACCACCACCGTGCCAGGCCAGGGCCTTCCTGGCCCCGGCATAATGTATACGCCCTCCTGGCCGAGGTCAGGAGGGTCTATACACCATCCTGGGGCCCAGGATCGCCCTGATCTGGCACGGCGGTGATGTATAGATGCCTTCGTCGGAGGATCGTCGATGCATCAGCAGTGCGGGTCGACTTCCAAACCCCACTTTCACTGGCGCTCCGCACAGACATCCCCCCACGCAGTCCCGCCCGGCCGACCTCCCCCACAGGCTCCCCAGGTAGGCCCGGGAAGTCTCAACACCCCAACCCTGTGGCGTGGAGCACCCCGAGGGCGCCGCCGGAGGCGGCGCCAGGGCGTTGAGACCGCCCCAGGCTCCTCAGGGGGCCCGTGAAGGCCAGCCGGGACCAGCTGGGTGCGCTGTCTATTTGCGCAACCCGAAGCCTCACCAGGGCGAGGCCTGGAAAGGTGCCCGGCCGGAGGGGTGTCGGCGACGCCCCCCCCCGCCCCACCGCGGCCCTGGGCAGCCCCTTCTCCTGGGGCGCTGCGGGAGCGGCGCGCAGCCCGCCGCACAGGTAGTCCACGCGCGGGTCCATGGGCAGGGACAGCGCGGGCTGGGCCATGGGCGCAGCAAGCACCTGCCGCTGGCCGCCAAGTGTGGCGGGACAGAACACATGGCGACCGGAGCCGTCCCAAGACGCAACGCGCAACTGCGACGTAGCGTGTTGGCACGGAGCTCAACACGGAGATTGAGCATGTGCGTATGGCCCGACAGGTTCGCCAACAGGTGGGCCAACGCGCCGAGACAACACGCCACGTGCCAACACAAACGCGATGATGACAGTCGTTTTCAGACAGGCGCATCCGGGCAACTATTGATGGCGACCTCGTGCGGCGAGCTTACACGACGTGTCCGCGCAGTCGACCTTGGTTTCTTCCACCGCCCCGACGGGAGAGGGCCACTCCCGCCCATCCTCTGCTCGGAAGCGCGCCTCTCCCCCCCGTACCTCGGCTCCCCATCGCTTGCCACCAACCCCCTCCCCCGATGGCATGCCCCCTTGCACGAGCGCTACCGTCGTCGTCGTCGTCCTCCTCCTCCTCCTCCTCCTCCTCCTCCTCCTCCACCTCCTCCTCCTCTCTCCTCCTCCCTCGTCCTCCCTCCTCCTCCCTCCTCCTCCTCCACCTCCTCCTCCTCCTCCCTCCTCCTCCTCCTCCTCCTCCTCCTCCACCTCCTCCTCCTCCTCCTCCTCCCTCCTCCTCCTCCTCCTCCTCCTCCTCCTCCTCCTCCTCCTCCTCCTCCTCCTCCTCCTCCTCCTCCTCCTCCTCCTCCTCCTCCTCCTCCCCTCCCCCTCCCCCTCCCCCTCCTCCTCGTCATCCAGCTCCCCCCCCCCGGCAGCAACTTTCCGCCAGGGGGGGGCCTGTGCGCGGGGGTCAGGGTTTCCCGATGGGGCAGAGCCAAGAGTGGCGATCGCCCCGGGAGCCATGCGCACGCATCGCCGTTGGAGGCCAGCGGCCCTGCGCAGGCCCAGTCGCCGAAGGGCCGTCAAGGAGGTGGGCCGTCCCCTGCCATTTCCCCCCCCCCCCCCCCCTCTCTTTTCAAGGGGACCAAGGACACACAAATAGATACACACAGCTAACAGGGTTCCCCAGGTTTTCCCATATCTTCTGGGTTTCTGTCTTCCCCCCCACGTCCCATATTTCCCAATATTTTCTGGGGAATCGCCGATTAATTGTGTCTGTGTGTTTCTTTCCCTCCTGACCTCTGCCCTTCTCTTCCACCTCTCGATGTTCAGCCGAGGGCTGCGGACAGTGTGGAGGGAGACGCTGGTGATCTACATTGCCAGCTACAGCGCAGGCGTCAGCGCAGCCGTGCAGAGGCAAATCAGCTGCAGCGCTGGGATCCACTCGTGCGGGAAGGGCGGCCGAGAGCAGCCAACATCAAATACAACGCTGGGAGTCTTGCGTGCGAGGAGGAGCTCGTTGCGAAGATCGAGGTCCAGGCAAACAGGGGCGACATTTCAGGTGCAACGCTGGGAACTGTTCATGCGAGAAGGACAGCGATGAGCGAAGGATCAGCTACAACCCCAGGACTAATTCACGCGAAAATGAGCGACGGGCGGCAGCTCGAGTTCCAGAGCCCGCGCGGGCCGGCGACCGCTGGTTTCGCCGACGGCTGGTTTCGCCCGGCTGGTTTCGCCGCCCAGCGGCACCAGCTTCGTTGGCGAAACCAGCTCCTTGGCGAAGCCAACTGCCGTCGCCGAAACCAGCTACCGTCGGCGAAACCAGCTGCCGTCGGCGAAACTGCCCGACCCGCCCGCCCGCTAGGGTCCGCCCGCCCCACCCGACCCGCCTGTTAGAGTTCGCGTGCTCGCTGGAACGCGCCCCGCACTTCAATGTCCCGCCCGCCCGACCCGACCCGCCCGTTAGGATTCGCGCGTGCTCGGTCGAGCGCACCCCACACTTCAATGTCCCGCCCGCCCGACCCGACCCGCCCGTCAGGGTCCGCCCGCCCGACCCGACCCGTCCCACCCGCTAGGGTCCGCCCGCCCGCCCCGACCCGCCCGTTAGGGTCCGCCCGCACGACCCGACCCGACCCGTCCGCTAAGGTCCGCCCGCCCGACCCGACCCGCCTGTTAGGGCTCGCGCGTGGTCGGCCGAGCGCGCCCCACACTTTGATGTACCGCCCGCCCGACCCCGCCCGTTAGGGTCCGCCCGCCCGACCCGACCCAACCCGCCCGCTAGGGTCCGCCCGCCCAACCCGACCCGCCTGTTAGGTTTCGCGCGTGCTTGGTCGAACGCGCCCCACATTTCAATGTCCCGCCGCCCGCCCGACCCGACCCGCCCGTAGCGGACCCTGGCGGGCGGGACGGGTCGGGTCGGGCGGGCGGACCCTATCGGGCAGGTCGGGTAAGGCGGGCGGGACATCAAAACGTGGGGCACGCGCGGGTCGTGTCGGGCGGGCGGGAGATTAAGGTATGGGGCGCGCTCGACCGAGCACGCGCGAGCTCTAACGGGCGGGCCGGGTCGTTCGGACCCTAAGATCGGGGTGGGCGGGTCGGGTCGGGTCGGGCGGGCGGACCTGACGTGCGGGTCGGGCGGGCGGGCGGCTAGCGGCGGGTCGGATCGGGTCGGGCGGGCGGACCTGACGGGCGGGTCAGGTCGGGCGGCGGGGCATTGAAGTGTGGGGCGCGCTCGACCGAGCACGCGCGAACCCTAACGGGCGGGTCGGGTCGGGTCGGGCGGTTCGCGCGTGCTCGGCCGAGCGCGCCCCACACTTTAATGTCCCGCCGCCCGACCCGACCCACCCGTCAAGGTCCGCCCGCCGACCCGATCCGACCCGCCCGCTAGGGTCCGCCCGCCCGCGGCGACGACGGCGTCGGCGAAACCGGCGCCGACCAGTGGGGCGAAACCAGCGGGGTGAAACCAACGCCGGCGAAACCAGCGCCGGCGAAACCAGCTCATGCCCGCGGGCCAACGTCATCAGCTACAGGGCTGGGGCCCAGTCGTTCGTGCGAGGAGGCCGAGCAATGGCAGCATTCTCTGTCGCTAGTCAGCGTGGCAGGACGTGGACGGCATATCAGCTACGACGCTGTGAGTAGTCTAGGCGAGAATGGCAGTGTGCGGTATATCAGCCAGGTGCAGCGCTGGGATTAGTTCGGGAGAGAGGGCAGGCAGCGAGGGACACGTCAGCTACAACGCTGGGAGTAACTCGTGCGAGGGAGGCAATGGGCGACAGCTCAACTGCAACGCCAGGAGTAGCTCATGCGAGAAGGCATGCGTTAGTGAGGGGGTCTCCTACAGCGACCATTCGCAGGCCATGGCTGTTAACTTCTTGGCCCGCGGAATGAAAACACAAAAAAACGAATTTGACAGACGAAGCGCCTTGAAATTTTCAAAATTCCGCTGAGCACTGAGTTTTGCACGGCCTGTTTTGCCATCGGCTGCTTTGCAATATTCAGAATTCCACGGGGCATTGATTTTTGCCAGGCATGTTTTGCCATGGGACGATGTGTCACCGATTCAAAAGCGGGGAACCCCAGGCGATGCTCATTGGTACAACGCCCAAAGGGTTTCCGAAACAAACAGCGCACATGTTGGATTTGGCGCGCGGCGTACGCGAGTGAGAAAGCAGCCGCTTCTCTAGGGCAGCGCGCGCCTTGAGGGGACGCAAGCTTCAACGTGCGAGCGCGTCCACCGCGCAAGCGCAAACGCTACGAGCGCGGGACAAACCGTCCGCTGCACGGCGATGCGCACACCTGTCGCGACATCACTCGAGAGCGTCGCAATCACATTTGTTTCCGTCCAACTTTGAAGACGGCGCTGCGTAACCAAAGCGCGCGCGGGCGCGCCAAAATCGAAGCAAACGCGCACGCGCACACGCACGCGCACACACACACACACACACACAGACACACACACACGCGCGCGCACACACACACGCACGTGCACGTAGCGAGCCAAACTTTTGAGTCGCGACGGGTGCAAGCTAGACCAGGGCGCGGCTAACATAATTGACGGCAGCGCAAACATCTCTCTCTCTCTCTCTTTCTCTCTCTCTCTCTCTCTCTCTCTCTCTCTTTCTATATATATATATATACAATATCATCTGTAAATGGAAACAAAGAAAACGGATCGCGGTATATTGCCCAGCAGCCAGCCCGGAAACGCACCCGAACGGGCTCCGCGCCCCACGGGTGCCGCAAGGAGAATTGTCGAATGCCGACGCGCACTTCCGCGCCGCGAAAGGGCCCCCATGGCGCTGGAGCTTCCGCCGCCGCCCCCCCTTTCCCGTAGTGCAAGGTTTCATCGTCTCAAACGCGCGGGTCCGCAAGCGATGTTGCTTTCTGGACCGCCAGACGGCTTCCCCACAATATCCGCGCGCATGTTGGGCTTGGAGCTTAACGTGCGGGACTGAGAAACGCACTCATTATACAAAGCAGCGCGCGGCCTGGACAAGCGCGAACTTAACCGCCGCGCAAGCGGGAGGAGCATTGGCCGAAGAACGGCCGTGACCCGGCCTCCGTCGGCCTCCTCAAAAGGCTCCAGAAAAATTCATTTTCAGTTGCGGCACTTATATGTCGACTTCTATATTCTGGAAAATGCAGAATTATCCCGCGCGCGCGAGCGCTGGTGACCCAGCCTCCGTCGGCCTCCTTGAAGGGCTCCAGAAAAATTCAGATTTAGTTTCGGGAATAACATGTTGACTTTTATATTCTGAACAATGCAGAACTCTCCAGCGCGCGCGAACGCCAGTGACCCGGCCTCCGTCGGCCTCCTTAAAGGGCTCCAGAAAAAATCAAATTTAGTTTCGGGAATAATATGTCGAATTTTATATTGTAGACAATGCAGAACTCCCCACGCGCGCGCGCGGGTGACCCGGCTTCCGTCGGCCTCCTCAAAGGGCTCCAGAACAAAACAAAGCAAAAAAACATGTTCAAACGCGGCACTTACATGTCGACTTGTATATTCTGGACAATGCAGAACTATCCCGCGCGCACGAGCGCCGGTGACCCAGCCTCCGTCGGCCTCCTGAAAAGGCTCAAGAAAAATTCAGATTTAGTTTCGGGAATAACATGTCGACTTCTATATTCTGGACAATGCAGAATTCTCCAGCGCGCGCAAGCGCCGGTGACCCGGC